TACAACATAATAATTCTCCCAGACTATGCAACTCTCCCCTTTCCATCAGTGCAATTACCTGAAAAGGTTTTTGCCTGTTTTTGAGTGTTTTCCCTTCACTCTTTTACCTCTTTCTTCATTTCTGTGTTCTTTTTCATCACCATTTCTGCAATGTATACAGGTAAGATTGGCAGTTGATGCAATTTTGATTGCTGAAGGTGCTGAAAGGAAGGAACAGCTTGCATCATGGACAGCTGATAAGAAGCAAATAAGTGAACATGCATTGACATTAAAACAGATAGAAAATGGTGTCATTGTTCCTCCATCTGGATGGAAATGTGCAAAGTGTGACAAGACTGAAAATCTTTGGTTGAATTTGAGTGATGGAATGATTTTATGTGGGAGGAAATTATGGGATGGAAGTGGTGGAAATAATCATGCCATTGATCATTACAATGAAACTCATTATCCTCTTGCTGTAAAGCTTGGGACAATAACTTCTGATCTTGAAGGAGCAGGTAATAGTAATATTATCTTGTTTGTGTGTTTTTTACCGTTTTACCCTTTGAACTTTTATCTTTTTTCGAATATAATTATGAGTTTGACACTTTGGCAGCTCAGATGTTTTTTCTTATCCGGAGGATGAAAGTGTTACTGATCCTCTTTTGGCTGAACATTTGGCATTTTTTGGCATTGATTTTTCCTCATTGCAAAAGGTAAATATCCTTCAATCTAAGATGTAATAATGACATACATGTTGATAATGATATCTGACTTTTATTTTTCAAAAAAATAAAAAAAATTCAGACAGAAATGACAACAGCTGAAAAGGAACTTGACCAGAATACAAACTTTGACTGGAATCGGATTCAAGAAAGTGGTCAAGAAGTTGAACCGATTTATGGACCTGGATACACAGGGCTTGTGAATCTTGGAAATAGGTAATTTTTTTGTTTCTTGAAATCATTTTGTTTTTTTTTTTTTAATAAAAAAGTTCATTCATTTTTCATATTTTTTGTGGTTTCATAATGTTATTCCATGCAGTTGTTATTTGGCTTCAACTATGCAAGTTGTTTTCTCAACTCATTCGTTTTGCTCAAGGTTTGTATACTTTATTTATTTATTTTATTGACATTTTGAGAAGTTTGCATAATTAATTATTCAACTACACAGATACTACAAGAACCAAAATTTGAAAATGGCGTTTGATAATGCTCCTGCTGATCCAACTGTAGACTTGAATATGCAGTTGTAAGTATTTATATTTATATTTATATCAAACAGACAATTAAAAAAGAAAATCATATGTTAATTAATAATATTAAATGGTTTTGATTTTTTTTTTGGCAGAACAAAACTTGCTAATGGTTTGCTTTCTGGTAAATATTCCATGCCAGCTGTGCAGGTGAGTTGGAAATTGAAACTCAACTTTATTTCAATTTTTACATTTATTATATATTTTTTAACCATGAAATGTTTATCCTCCAGAATAATGATGTGGACTCATCTCCAAATTCTGTAAGTTTCTAACTTGATTTATAATTTCTTTTGATGAAAATTGAATTTCTTTTGATGAAAATTGTTTTATTTTTTTATTTTTAAAAGAAACAAGAAGGGATTCGGCCCAGAATGTTCAAGGCAGTAATTGCAGCCAGTCATCCTGAATTTTCAACCATGCGTCAACAGGTAAGTTTAATAATTAATTTTTATAAACAGAATGTTTGTTTTTACTTAATTATATAAACTTTTTTTTTTTTAATATATAAATGATGTACAGGATGCACTGGAGTTTTTTCTACATTTGATAGAGCAAGTTGAGCGAATTCATTCTGGAAACCCTAATTTGGATCCTTCTAGAAGCTTCAAATTCGGTATTGAAGAGAGATTACAATGTCCTTCTGGAAAAGTTGCTTACAACAAAAGGCATGACTATATTCTTTCCTTGAATATTCCACTTGATAAAGCTACTAACAAAAGTGAGTTTTTTTTTTTTTTTCACTACAAATTTTACAAAAACTATATTTTCTTTAATTTCTTCTATTTGCTATTAATTAATATTTCAGAGGAACTGGAAGAGTTTCAGAAATTGAAGGCTCAAAAAGAGGCAAAGGGGGAGAAATTGTAAGATAGTTTGGGTTCTTTTCCTCCTCTTCTTCTTCTTCTTATTATTATTGTTATTTATTTTTGTTTTAAAAAAAATTCCAACCTTTTTTTCATTAAGACATTTTATTTTTCAGGTCTTCAGAAGAAATTGTGCGCCCAAGGGTGCCATTAAGTGAATGTTTGGATAGCTTTTCTTCACCTGAAGATGTTCAAGGTTTCTTTAGTACTGCATTAAATACTAGGACAACAGCAATCAAGTAAGTTTATTATTATTATTATTATTTTTTTAAAAATAGTATAATTTTTTATATTTATAAAAAAGTATAAACTTTTTGTTTTTTGTTTATAGAACCGCAGGTCTTACTTCATTCCCTGATTATCTGGTGCTCCATATGAGGAAATTTGTAATGGAAGCTGGTTGGGTGCCTAAAAAGCTTGGTATAAAACTATAAATATATGCAAATTACAAAATGGTCCCTGTGTTTTCGGATTTCTGATTTCTACCCTGTTTAGTCCATATCCGAAACCCTTTTCAATTTTCCTCCTCATTTCAATTTTAAATTAATCCAAAACCTTGTAATTTTTTATTTTTTTATATAAATCTGAAAGCACAGGGACCATTTTTGTAACTTAATCCATATACTTTTTCTCTCTTGATTTTTTTTTTTTTTGGGGATAATTTATTTGAATTGGGTTGTTGCAGATGTTTACATAGATGCTGATGACATCATCGATATCAGCCACATGAGAAGCAAAGGCTTACAACCAGGGGAAGAGTTGTTACCTGAAGATGGTATCATTTCTTTACACATAAAAATATAAATTTGTTTCTAAAAAAAAAAAATAAAAAATAAATATTGTGATGTAATAATAAAAAATAGGTCCTGGAGGACAGGAAGAGTCAACAAAGGTTTTAGCAAATGAAGATATTGTGTCTCAACTTGCTGGAATGGGATTTAATCATCTGCATTGTCAAAAGGCTGCAATTAATACATCAAATGTTGGTGTAGAAGAGGCCATGAATTGGTTGCTTTCCCACATGGATGATCCAGGTTTTTACTTTTTACTTTTGACAATTTCACCCTCTTGGTATTTTTATAATTACCGTTTTGCCCTTTTTTCAGATATTGATGCTCCGATTCAGAAAGAGGCGGGAAACAATGATGTTGATCCATCAAAGATTGCTATGTTGGTTTCGTTTGGCTTTGAAGAGGAAGTAGCTAAGAAGGCTTTAAAGGCATCGGTAAATATCCGACACATTTAAAAAAAATATTAATAAATGGAAAAATATTAGTTTTATTTAATAGTTCATTGATTCACAGGGTGGTGATATTGAGAAAGCAACAGATTGGATTTTTAACCCCCCTGCTTCATCTGGGCCCACGGATATGGATGCCACATCAAGCAGTGGACCCACAACTACTACTGTGGACCCCACATTACCAGATGGAAATGGAAGTAAGTTTATTTAAGATGTTGAATATTTTTGTTGCGTATAGGGAAATTTGTTTATGTTTTTTAATTTTTAATTTGTGTGTGTGTGTGTGTGCAGAATATAGACTGATTGGGCTAGTGAGCCACATAGGCAGCAACACACAGTGTGGGCATTATGTAGCACACGTGTACAAAGAAGGAAGATGGGTGATTTTTAATGATGATAAAGTGGGTGTTTCTAAAGACCCTCCAAAAGACATGGCATACCTCTATTTCTATGAAAGGATCCAAACTTGAAAGAAGAAACCCTGCATGCATACCTGGTTTTTTCTTTGAATCTGAAACATGGAAGGTAGAATAGACTGTTTTTTTTTTAGTTAATGTTTGAATTTTCAGTCTATGCCCATGTTGTGGGATCATATACTTTGTTTAGTATTTGGTTTATAATTTCAAAGTTTGCAAATTGCCTTTGGTTTTTTAAATCTATAATCCATGCCCAAATAAGATAATGCTTGGCCTCATGGATGTTAGGTTATGTTTTGGAATAGAATATGAATTTCATTGCATCCATTAACCATATAATATTTATATGGAGGTGATGACCAAATCTAGTATTAATATTAACCAAAGTTGTTAAACTTGCAATCATCCAACCTAGGTAAATTTAGCCTCATCATACTTGGATAATTTTTTATGGTTCAAACTGTTTTTGGTAGGTTTTACAAAGTAGAAAACGATCCAATTTTGACAACCTTAATTATTATTATTATCGAACAAATGTCAAATATTTGATTAGATTTCAAACATAAATTGTGTATTTGGTGCATATAAATTGTGAGATCATCTAAGCTACTTTTATAAATATGCTTATTTCTTGAAATTGTATTGTTATGTTATTTTAAAATTGTAATGACAATAAGTTTTTATCAAACACTATTATTTTATTAGCTAATTTTCATCTATTTTCAAACCAAATCACCTTTCCACAAACTAATAAGGGAAAACTATATATATGACACCTTTATTGTCAATAATTTAGCCGTTCAAAAAATTGCGTTTAACAAATTGCCGCATAGTCAACCATAAAATAGGGAAAATAACCTGACCTTTGTAGAGGTAAATAATATACCAACAATTATGATACTATCTAGAGCACAAGTTTTCGTAAGCATTTTATTAAAAAGTCTCAAACTATTCCAAAATTTAGTTCCTAGTATTTATCTTTTATCCTCATTTATCTCCTTGATACGCAAAATGGATGTATATAGACATCCTTGAAATTAAGTAATATAAAACAAAAACTATAACTATTAAAATAAATTTTAATTAAATTAAGATGTACCATTAAATTAGTAGCATTCAATCATACTTTATAGTCAACATGATAGAAATTAAAACTATATGGATCTTTAATGAGATCGAAAAAAACTGGGCATTAAAACTGATATTTTAGAAAACCAGAAGGACAATTTATGAAGATTTGTGTAAAATTATTATTATCAAGCGGGCACATCTCCGCAACCCTTTTGTTTTACCAGTGGTACGAATCCGACGAACCCGCAGTCGTCGCCTCCACAATCAACCTCCGTTTCTCAATCGCTTCTACACAACAAAATCATCGGACCGTCATGTTTGACCGCCGGAGACGGCCACGGAGACAGCAACAACGAAGATGATTCGATTTTGCAGCTGGTGAAAATGCCGGCATATATCCTCTTTTACCTACACCGATTTTCATCTGATTTACATGGCCTTCTCAAGGTACGTGACAATCAACTTATTACTTTGCATCGTAATCGTTCCTTTTCTTTTGATGTAATGATGTTTGTTCGCTCAATGCTTTCTATGCAAAATCTCTATTAATTATTCAACTACTATCGATTAATTTAAGAACCGTGTCAATAAGAAGTCATATGCTGATATGCATATCTCGATTGTTGTGGCATCTTGATTGACTGCGTTGTAATCGCCTATTGTCTAGTGTAAGCGCATAATCTTAGCACGTATTTGGTATTATAAGTTTATACTCCTTGGTAGACTCTATGATTTTAATCAAGAACCTTAGAAGTCAGGATTGTAGTTGTTGACCTTCTATTCATCATTTTGATCATACAATGTCACATAATTCACATGATATAAAGGTGTTTAATTAACTTTATGCAGGTTGTTAGCAGTTTCCAGCATTAGAAGGGCAGCAAATTCCCTTCTTCCAATTAAAGCTAATAATCATACACTCCAATTAACAGTTGCCTTTCGCCACTCCTATAGACTCTATTCACAACATAAGGTTCTCAACAGAGGCCTTTCTTGTTATGAATCAAAGAAAAGTTTATGGAGTTGTAGAAATTTTCAAAGATTCTATTTCATATCAACAAGTAGTAAAGTCTCACACCATGCTCAAATGGCATGGAAAAGGTTTTCCCAAATCTATACCTACAATGTGCCAATCCAACCAATGAATAGAATCACATGTGCTATAAGCTTTGCTTTAACTAGATCCCAACTCATTGCTCCTGGAATTTTAGCCTTTTTAGTAGGAGAACTCACATGGAAACAAAGAACATTAGCAGAAGCAGAAGGGTTTTACAAAAATGATCTTTTCACTTTCACACAAGATGGACATGTTTACTTAACCTCATTCGTCTTCTCTCTTATAGAACTCATACTCTTATGTCTTAGAGCAATATACTTAGCTTTCCTCTTCACACCATGCATAGCCATGGCTCCTTTTGCTGATTCCTTTGGACCTAAATTTCGTCTGACATGGCTACAATGCGTCCACCACACTTTAGAAAAAGCGGGACCCGCGTTCATCAAATGGGGTCAATGGGCTGCTTCAAGACCCGATCTTTTCCCTAATGATCTTTGCATAAAACTCACAGAGCTTCAAACAAATGCTCCAGCTCATACCTATGCACACACAAAGAACACTATCGAAAAAGCATTCGGGCGTCGATTATTTGAAATATTTGAAAACTTTGAGGAAGATCCGGTAGCTTCCGGAAGCATAGCACAAGTTCATAGAGCAACCTTAAAGTTTCGCCACCCTGGACAAAAAATCAAACCCATTCTTGTTGCTGTTAAAGTTAGACATCCAGGAGTTAGTGAAAGAATCAGAAGGGATTTCATAATTTTAAATTTGTTTGCAAAAGTGTCATCTTTTCTCCCGAATTTAAACTGGTTAAGACTCGATGAAAGCATACAACAGTTTGCTGTTTTTATGATGTCACAAGTTGATCTTGCAAGAGAAGCTGCTCATTTAAGTCGATTTATTTACAATTTCAGAAGATGGAAAGACGTGTCATTTCCTAGACCTTTATATCCACTTGTACATCCTGCTATTTTAGTGGAAACTTTTGAACATGGTGAAAATATATTGCATTATGTTGATGCACTTGATGGAAATGTTGGAATTAAAACCGGGCTTGCTCATATTGGAACTCATGCTCTTCTAAAGATGCTTTTGGTTGACAACTTTATCCATGCAGACATGCATCCAGGGAATATTCTAGTAAGGGTAACTCAGGGAAAAGCATCAGATACTGGGCTTTTTAAATCAAAGCCTCATGTAATTTTCCTTGATGTTGGTATGACTGCTGAACTTTGTAAAAAAGATAGATTAAATCTGATTGAGTTTTTTAAAGCTGTTGCTCTTCAAGATGGACGTGCTGCTGCAGAACATACACTTAAATTTTCAAAACATCAAAACTGCCCGAATCCCACAGCTTTCATTAAGGTATTATTAAAGATTTTTTGTTATTGTTAATTGTTAATTGTATGCATTGGTTACTTGTACATTTGGGAAGGAAAGTACAAGTTACAACAGTGTGATGCAATACAGGATGTTGAGAAATCGTTTGTGTCATGGAGTTGTGGGGAGGGTGAGTTGTTAAATCCTGCACAATGTATGCAACAGTTGCTTGAGCAAGTTAGGAGGCATAGAGTTAATATTGATGGGAATGTTTGCACTGTGATTGTCACCACTTTAGTTTTGGAGGTAATTTTTCTTTAGTAAAAGAAATATAAATAATAATAATAAAATATATATGTTTGGAATTATGTGGTTTATATTTTGATGCAGAGTTGGCAGAGGAAACTTGATCCGGAGTATGATGTGATGAACACATTGCAAAATATTTTATTTAAAACCGATTTGGTGGAGTCTCTTTTCTATACAATTGAAGGCCTCATGGCTCCATAAAAAAAAAAAGGTGCAATCCCTCACTATAAAAACATATTCATGTCATTTTTGTTCTTTTTGAATTCTACAATGTAATGTAATAATAATCCTCATGAATTAAAAAAAGAAAAACAAAGTACTACATGATATTGTTATGTTGTAAGAAACAATAAATAAAAATACATGAAAATTCATCGGAAAAGAAGTCAAAACGTAACTGAGTGCAGTGTTGAGTAAACTCTTAGCAGAGATTAGTCAACGCTGCACTCAATGATGTTTCAAATCCACCCTGAGACTGGTTGGCTTATTATTTCATCAAAGCTGAAGACTGAAGTTGCTTAACTAATCCAAAAGAGTAAATAACAATTGTAACTATTTCTTAATCTATTAATTTAATAGAAAAAAAAATATCAGTTATAATAGTTATGCTTTTGAATTTTTAAGGTCGACGGTTTATGGTAACATATCATTGCTCGTATATAGCACGTGTTAAAAAGGAACCCAATCTAAAGTTTCTCCAACTTATTTGATTCATGGCCTTAGGTGCAATCTGTTGTAAACTTTTCTGAAACTTTAATTGGATAAAACCCGATGTAGATCAACCTTTTGAGTTAATGGTTAACATTGTTTTTTTGGAAACGAACATCAATTGTTTTCAAATGACTAACAAATGCATTTTCTTCTGTTAAATAGTAACGTAACAAAATTATTTTTCATGCTTTTCATGTGCCATACCAGGTAGGTTACAAGTCAACTTTTATTTTCACAATTTTCGTTTAATATTTTAACTTTATTACGAATTTTGTCAAAAGTTTTTTTTATATAAATAAATTTGCCTTAAAATTAGTTTTTCTTTTACAAACTTACATCTTTTACCAAAAAAATTGAAAGATCACTATTTTTTTTTTTTTGAAAAACATCATAAATGGTCCCTGTGGTTTCCTCAGATCTGAAGTTTAGTTCCCGTGGTTTAAAAACATCATAGATGGTCCATGTGTTTTCAAAACTTTTGAGGATTGGTCATTATTAATAACTCTGTTAAGTTTTGTCCGTTAACTGAAGGATATATTCGTCATTTTATGACCATAGGGACCATTTATGATGTTTTTACTTATTTAAAAAAAGGAAAAAAATAATATACAAAAGGGATCTCTCTCTCTAATATTTCTTCTATATTTAAACCATTTTCCTTAATTAACCATTTCAAGCAAACCTAACAACAACAATCTAAAATCAAAAAACAAATCAAAGTTACGTATGTGTTTGTTGGTCAGTGCCATCTCAAGAACAATTTCAAACAAGCCCAACAACAACAATCGGAATGGAAGAAGAAGAAGAGGGAAAGAAACATAACAAACACAACAACAACAAATTTCTTGGAATCTAATTTTGAAACTCACAAGAATATATATATCCATACAAATTTCTTTATTTCTTCTAAAAAATTCCTTTTTTTGGATCTCTATTTTTGGATCTACGTGTTCTTGGACCTCCGATTTTGCTCTATAACTAAACTCCACATTTCATCTCCTTCCATAGAGTCCTGAAGAATAGAAATCAGTTCAAAACTCGATTTCTGAAGGTCAAGCCTTCTAGATCAAAAATCGATTCAAAGAAAAATCGATTGGAGATTTCAAGAAGATGATAGTGTTGTTGTATATATGGCAATTAATGCTTCTGAATCGAGGTGGAGGTAGACAGAGACAAAGTTCAAAAAATTTCATTTCGTTTTCAGGGTTTTGTTGAGATAAAAGCTTTGCAGTGCCGCCTGTCATGGAGGTTATCTTCGGATTTGCAGAGATAGGGTTTGTAGCGATGGTGACCTGTGGATTTCATGATTTTGATTCAAAAAACACCGCCTGCCATGGAGGTTATCATTTTTAACCATAATATTGGTAAACATTTCTTTCTCTGAATAACCGCAAACAATGAAGGTCAATTCTTCAAATCTTGAAGAACATATGGATTTCACGATCGAATCAAAACCTAGAAACATGAATCAAGTTGTAACAATAATTGTGAAGAACAAATGGATTTCCGTGGATCTTACTTACTCGTATACTTGCTTTATCAAGTTAATTTCTAGTTCCGACGACATCAGATCATCAACCTCCCATCCCCACCACTATCTACCTCCCACCACTATCTTCAACCTCAAAATTGAAGTTCAAATCTTCATCTTCATCCTCAAAATATGAGTAAACCTTTCGATGGCAAAAAATTGATTTAAAGAACATTCATGGAGCAAAAAAACCGAACCAAACTTGGTGAAAAATCAAAGGCCCCATCGTTCTCTTCCTTTCAGTCACATTTGAATAAACAGAACATGACGATGGCTTGGTGTTGGACTAGTGGTGGAGAGAGAGAGAGAGAGAGAGAGAGACCTTTTGCATATTATTTTATTATTTTATATATATTTTTTAAATAAGTAAAAACATCATTAATGGTCCATGTAATTGTTAAATGACGAAAATGTCATTCTGTTAACGAACGAAACTTAACATAGTTAGCAAAATGATTAATTATCAAAAGTTTTGAAAACATAGAGACCATCTATGATGTTTTTAAACCACCGGGACTAAACTTTAGATCCGTGGAAACCACAAAGACCATTTATGATGTTTTTATTTTTTATTTATTATATATATATATATATATATATATATATATATATATATATATATATATATATATATATATATTTTCCTACCTGATTAGGTAAAACACTTTTAGATCAAGTCGAAATGATATCTTTAAAAAAAAAAGATTATATCTACTATTTGCTCAAATCATTTTTTTTTTCAAAAATTAATGACAATTCTTGAATATATACGTTACTCGGTGAAAGAACATAGTAAACATAAGTAAACATGTTTTAATGATCGACGAAGGTCCAAATACTTTATACTTTATGTTTGGGTTCTCATTATATGGATGCTAAAGTGGGTGTATAAACATAAATGGGTGTATAAACATTGGATGTCGCAATTCGCAAACTCGCAATGGACCTCACGTAGAGTTCAATACTAGTTTACCTTACCCAATTGAAATCAACACATTAAGTAACAAGAACCTAAAAAATCGTTTAGTCGTCTATTGAGTATACTTAAAAGATGAATAAAGATAAATTGACATTGTCAAACAAATTGACGATATAAAGTATTTTAATCATATTGGACTCATCATAACTCAGATAAGCATAATTCTTCATCATTTTTCATCTCCTCCGTTAGAAGGTGTCCACCCTAGTAACGATACTTGTGTCATTTTTGTTTCTTTCGATTTCTACAATGTAATCTTCGAAATAGAATTTTTCTTAACAAAATGAAGTACTATCATTAAAAAGAATAAACATACCGGTAGAATTAGGAGAGGTGCCATCAACTTTAATGTACAGTTATCAGAAAAGAACTCAAAACATAATTGAGTGCAGGGTTGACGAAACACTGTGATTTACAGGTGAGATTTATCAACGCTGCACTCAATGATGTTTTAAGTTCTCTGAATATCCGCATCTCTCTCATAGGTTGGGTATGAGTTTATATGTTTATTTATACATATTTATGAGTCAAAAGTACAAGAAGTCGTTGACATATGTACTACTCATCAAAGATGCATTGTACTACCTTTAACCGTTGTGGTACATGTGATTTTGCTAATTGTACTCTTTTCTTTTTTGTTTCTATATTTTATCTTAATTCTTAACTTCCTTTTTTGTACTACACAAACAATGCGAATATATATATATATATATATATATATATATATATATATATATATATATATATATATATATATATATATATATATATAATTTAACTTGGACCGTCCTTTATTTGGTTTAACATTGTATGCTTTATTTCCGAAATACGATTCTTTCGTGAACTTAGTCTGTTTCAAAACTGAAATGATCATAATACCCTTATGCTTTTATTTTTCAATTAATTTAATGCTTTTTATTATTATTATCAATTTAAAAAAAAAAATAAAGGGTCGCCTTCACTTTCCCTAATTTCATTGTGTTACTCAGAAAAACACACACACTCAATGAGAGGGAAAAGGAAAGACAATTTGTCGGCCCGTCACCGACCACCATCACCGTCTCCGCCCTCTGACGAACCTTCTCTCCCACATATCACCATCTCTAGCCAACTCTCTCACCCACACTCGCATCCCAACCATCAATGTTGAAGCCATTTCTAACGACTTTTGAAGTCGCTACCTTGCTGGAGAACTGGACCAGCAGAGCCGAGAGTCTTCATCGCCACTTATGTGCTTAAACCGCTTGTGTTATGAGACGCCATCACCACCATAGACCTACGTTGAAATCGAACGTCGCCTGAAACCTTAACTATCGCAACCTCTATTCGAAAACTTAAATCTAAGGTGATGGTGATGTATATCTGCGATGGTGGTTATGTATATCTTCTAGATGTACATCAGAAGAGATGAAGGATGTGGCGACGATTAGAGTTTGGATTTTTACATTCAAGATGACAACTAGGGTTTGGGCCTATTGATCTCTTCTTCTTCTCCGACCATTCAACCACGCTGCCATCAACAAGTTGTGATATATCCTTATCACATTTCCGACCATTGTTTGTCGATCCGTTCTTCTTTTTCAGTTTAGATTTGCTGGAAAAAATGGAGCTTTAAGAGAGATAGAAATGAGTACAGCAGAGAGAATGGTGAAGTTCTTAGAGAAAAATGGAGTTTTTCCTTTTCAATCCAGAGTCGTCGGAGAAGTTTTGGGGTTGCGGCGATGTTTTGAAGTCGCCGAAATATTGAAGTTGGTGACCCATGCTAGTCGGTGGTGGTGTTTTTCTTTTAATATATAAATAGCTAATAATTAATAAATAAATATGGGCAAAATGTTTTTTTTATGGTTGTAGGGGTTAAGCGTACAAGAAAAAACAAACCAAAAGACGGTCCAAGTTATTTTTTAAAAATAAGAACTAAATGTATGTTTTGACATATACACAAGGGACGAATGTTGTAATTTACCCTAGAATTTAATTAGGATTTATTTATTTATTTATTTAAATTTTGCTGTTGTTGTTGAAGAAAACCTGATTTGTTTTCTTTAACCGGACAATCGATATTGATATTAGTTTTTTCTATTTAAGATTTTTTTTAAAAATTTTTCTATTTAAGATTTTTTTTTCA